ATATTTAGTTTATATATATTTTTTTAATTTTCAATTAATTAAAACAAAACTTATCGAACAAAAATTTATCAAAATAGTATTTTATTTGAGTTAACGAATTTTATGGAAGTAATGTTTTTGAAAAAAGATAAATATTTTATGGCAAAATCTAAGTTTCAAATTTTATTTAATTATTTTTCTAATTATATTTTAAAAAATATATGTTCGTACCACCAAATTTATTGGTTAAATGAATGAGCAAATCCTAAAAATGAAAGTCGAGGGAGGGAGCAAACCCGCTATAAAAATAAAAAATAGTTTGAGAGACCAAATCTGTTATAATAATGTAAATTAGTTTGAGAGACCAAATATGTTACAAAATAAATAGTAGCTTGAGAGACCAAATACGTTATTGAAAATTAAAGTTGAGGAAGAAGATGGTGAATAAACAAAAATGACCCCTTACTAACGGAAACTTAACTTAAGGGGTTAGAGGAAGGACCATATATGTTATAAAAAAGAAACTACAGAGACGTCTTTTGTTAGTCATTTCTTTTCAGGGATCTTACTCGTTAATTTATATAAATCATAGGGACCAAATTTGTATTTAACTTTTTTGTCAAACTTATTAGTTTAACAGGTAGCTTAGTAGTCAACAACTAACTTATATACTTAACCCACTCTAACTTTTTTAAACACAAATTTATAAATTAGTTTATCATTAAACCTAATATTAACATGGATTGTGATTGATATAAAAGGTTTATAAAGTTAACATAATAATTTGGATTAACATTGAACTAAGCGCGCATGCGCGCTCTCTCTCTCTTTATATATATATATATATATATATAGAGAGAGAGAGAGAGAGAGAGAGTGAGAGAGAGAGAGAAACGATCAAATGCAAACCACCCAATTTGTACAAACCGTGCAAACCACCATCATCCATCGATTTCATTGTTTAATCTTATGAAATTTTTTCATGAAATTGTTTAATCTTGTGCTTTTTTGATGAAGTTGTTTCATATATAGTTATGA